GAATGGTCGTTGACAAAAACGGGAAAACGGAGAAAAAGATCCACGCGCCAGGTGGGAACGGGATGTTAGGAGATCCGCGCGTACCGTGACAAGATCCGAGAGATAATCGCGAGAATCGAACTTGGGCGCCAGATACAATCTTTCACGTATCAATGATTATTTTTAATGAAATAAGTAATCATAATTTTAATTATATAATTGATTAAAAATTATCCGATTTATGTCGTGTTTCGTGTCATTTTAATCGCAAGAATCTCATTAATCTATTATAATTATTTTTATATAGTTAAAATGGAAAATAGAAGTTTAATTTTTATTTAGAAGATGTTTATATTTTGTAGATAAGGAAAAATCCCCGATGCTGGAGAGTCGACAAAAGCGAGAGCGAGAAAGAATGAAGGAGTAAGTGCGATGACAAACATGAAAGAGTTCCGAAGCCTCGCTCGCGTGACTCCTTTTATCTGTAATCTTTCACGTATATATGTCATCTTACTACAGAAAATAAAATTTTTGTATTTCGCATTTTATATATCTGAAAATAATTGTAACGGATTAATTACATTTTTGCGATTAAAATGACACGAAGTACAACATAAATCGGATTATTTTTAATGAAATCAGTAATCATAATTTTAATTACATAATTGTCTAAAAATTTTCCCATTTATGTCGTGTTTCGTGTCATTTTAATCGCCAAAATTTCATTAATGTATCATAATTATTTTTGGATATATAAAATAAGAAAATAATAATTTTAAAGTATTTATTTGGACAAGTCACAGCTATCGGATGAGGCTTTCAAATTTTCACTGCAGAGACAGCAAATCTTTTATACAAACCATAAAGTTTGTGTGATATGATTTATATACATATTTGATGCATATTTATGTACATATGTAAGTGTAACATAAATAACAATATTGATACAATAAATATCGGTACGGTCAGTAACCGCACGTGCTAAGTGAACGCTTCTTACCGCATAGACTACGAATAGATGACTATAAAAACCTTTGACTGTATAAGAATAGACCGCTAATAGCTAACTTCACGCCTGTTCCAATATCTACAGCGACACCAGTACCCAAGAACTAAAATAATGTACAGTTTGTGCTATCAGGTTAGGCTAGCTGTCGGTTTGTTGTGAGCGTACTTATACAATAGTCAAAGGATACAACCAAAGGATACAACGCAGTTACAATTCGTGAAACGTATCTGTAGGAAAGAAGCAAGAATGCCGATTTATTGCTTTGGGTGGGTTCCACTTAACGACCGCAACGCTCGCAACGCCCGCAAACCCGTTTCACATAACGACCACGGTCGTTGTGGTCGCAGTCGGAACGTCATAGATGACGTCATTAATCGCGACCGCGTCGACGAGCCCACGACGCCCATGCTTTATACGTGGGTCGGCGTGGTCGTTTCGTCGTTTCGTCGTCTGCTGTTTTCTCTTTAATTTAATTAACAATCCTGGTGCCTTAAAATTTGTAACTATCATGGAAAAAGTTTCCTTATATGATTCGGAAAGAGAGTGGTAGTTGATGTTAGGCTTTCTCCTGAAGATCTTTTACGTGCGCATACAGGTAAGTGATATATTTTTTAATATTGTGAAACATCTAATCCTACTTTGTTGAAGAACATTTTATATTTTAATGCAATGTTCTCTGATTTTAGACACAGTCTTTGCAACGTCTGTATTAAACGCAGCCATGAAAGAGAGACATATTACAATAAATGAAAATTCTATTGAATCAGTTCCAACTCAACAAACTATTCCCAAGGTTTATACATCGGCACACACCAAAACGAACGCTAAAATGAATACTGAAAGTGACACTGATGACAGCGGCATGTTAATTAAGTTATTAATTTAGTTATTAATTCATTTATTAATTCAGTTTTCAATGAACACTTCAAATGAAGCAGTTGATCACATGTTTAGTGCTCGTTTTAGGTTCTATCTATAGATGGTCGACACCTACTGTGCTATTACTGTTAGACACATATAGAACTTTTGAAGAAAAATTTACCAATGGAAAATATTCACACAAAAAGATCTGGGAAGAAATTAGTGCAATCCTTGTAGAAAAAGGACATATAATCACAGGGCCACAATGTGCGGCAAAACTGAGAAGCCTGAAAAAAACTTATAAAAGCGTGAAAGATCATAATAATCTGTCAGGCAATGATAGGCGGGCTTGGCAGTTTTATGAGGTACAGGGAAAATTAGATTCAAAATGTAGTAAAAAAATTTATTCTACATTTCCTCTATTGCATAATACATATACTCTTTGCAGATTATGGATAAAATCTTTTCAAAAAGAGCCTGGAGCTCCCCAGTTGCCGTTGCATCATCAACAGAACTTTCCATTAAGCAGGACAAAGATGTAGAATTTGTCAGTGCAGAGTCTACATCTGGTAAGTTTATGCATAAATCATCCATGTTGTGGTTCGTTTTTCGTATGTCATTTGGGAAATGACGAAACTTTTAATTTTATCATTAGATCTGAACATTTTTATAATTACCATGTATCACATTTATTCAGTTCAAATGATGAATATCTGAACTGTTAAAATTTTATGTAAGTATTTAATAAATGTTTCATAGAATCATCCACACCAAAAGAAAATGTATGCAGTCTTCATAAAAAAAGCTACTTCAGAAAACTGAACATGAAGAAGCAAAAGGCATAAAGAGAGATTGGAAATGGACGAGAAATTTCTTACAGTTTTGACTAAATTAGTTGAGAAATAGTTAGTGCTAACGTGAAAAACTGCAACATTTTCTCGTTCATTTTAAAAGACTGAAATTAAATGTCATTTCTTTTCAATGCAGAATTTTTTTTAATTTTTTTTATTACTTAAATATATTTTTATTTCTATATAATACATAATACATTAATAATAAATTAATAATTTTTATATTCGATTTTACATTGACAGAGAAATGGTAAATAGCATATAAGTAATAAAGATGTTAATTTAACTATGTCTTTTTTTATGTGATATTTTGTTTTGTGATGCCTCTGTAACAAGCCGCTTTCGCGAGGCGGGCGACGGATAACTCGGGATCCTGGGTTCGTGAAAGTGGTATCGAGACACGAATGCGATTTGATGTTTGGTAGAAATGTACTTTATTGCATGTAAATGTGTGTTGGTACAGCGTGAGTGTATGTATAGGTGTACGAGGTGTGTGTGTGTATGTGCGCGCGAGACGAGTGGTAGTGACGAGTGCGTATGATCTAGATGTGCGAGTACGTATAATGTATGTGTGCGAGCACGTATAAATTATATGTGCGAGTACGTATAATGTATGTGAGCGAGTGTACAATGTATGCGTGCGAGTATGTATACTGTCGGTGTGCGAGTATGCAGTGCCGGAGGGTGCATGCAATGCACCGCGATTGCACTCAGCGCGGGTCGTGCTTTCGGGTGTTCGTTCGACTATCGATTATTAATCGCGCGGCGTAACTCCGGCAGGAGCCGTTAGTTGTCGGGTGGTCCTTTGCGGTCGCGTCGGTGGGCGGTGGGCGGTCCTTCGACGCGGGTATCGATTTCGGATGTCGATCGGTGTCGCGGTAAGGCGCAGGTCGGCCCTCGGCGCGGGACTTATCGTGCCCGTAATAATGGCGCGTTGGGCGCGTTAATGGCGGTGGCCAGCGGTCTGTCCGTACGTGTAATTGTCGATTGTAATTCGCGTATCTGGATCGCGGGTGGCGGAATCAGGAATGTATCGGCCGACGAGGAATCCCGTCGGTGGCAGAGAACTCCCGGCCACTGGAACAATGCCGATACACACGGTGGACGGAATAGCTAGCGAGGGGCCGAGATCGGCGGGTCGGCGGCCGGGTACGGTTTCGTAACGATGGGGGGATGCATCGTTACACCTCCTTAAGTAAATTTTAGTTTTTGTTTTGTGTGATAAGAGAAAATGTCATTTATTTTATTTTGTAACTTTTAGTTATTGTTTTATGTAATAAGAGAAAATGGCATTTATTTTATTTGTATAAAATTTTATAATATGTTATATTTTATATATTATAATATATAATTCGTGTTATATAATGTTAAGTCATTGTATTACTGCATTTAAATTTACTCCATCAAAACAATTAAAACTTAACAGGATAATTTGTATAAAATTGTATTTTTTACATTTTGTAATTATACTTTGTTCAAAATTGAATCATAAAAATTTCGTTTCTAAATTTCGCCGTTATATTAAAACGAGTGCCTCAGAAAATAAAACACGAGCGAGAACAAACAGCGTCGCGGTCACCCGCTCGGTGCGTGATCGCATTCTTAGACTTTCGTGTCTTATTCTCGCTCGTGTCGCGTACGCAGTAGGCTTACTCGTCTCAAATTCGGTCCGAATTGTCTCGCCATACGATCGCATTCATATTCTCGCGGCGGTCAATTCGGTCATATCTCAAACTGTATTATTCATTCAGTTAGTGCTAAGACATCGTGAAAGTTAAGTGTTAAGAGTGTGGAGTCCGAGAGTCGACGCGCGTTAACCGTTCCGCGAATGTCCTCTGCCTCGCGCCAAGCAACACCCGGCGTTCGCGTGCAAGATTTCCGCTCTCGCGAGAGTTTCTAGCAAGAAGCTCTTCATCAAGATTTCCGAATCGCGAAAAGGGGCAATCATTAACAGGACATTTTGAAGATATCCGTCGGATTCGCGGAATACGTGCCGTCGCTCGCTCCTATTATTCAAAATAAAAAGGAACATTTCTTAACATCTGCACTCGACTCATTTCAATCTCCTTATCCTCCAGCGGATCTACGGATTTGCGTAACACACCGCTTCTCGCTCATCTCTGAGCGTCTCTCTCAGTTTCGGGCGATCTCGTCGAGATCGACTCCCGAACATACTTAAAAAAAATCTGTGGACAGTAAGGTCTCGCTAAAATAAAATTTTAACATCAATTAAGAATAATAAAATATTTATTTCAAATTTCAGTGAAAAAACGTTATAATACAATTATAATTTTTTAAAGTTATAACCGTAAAGTGTTCATAATCAAATTTCTTTTGGCAACTCCAGCATTCTGTCTTCCTTGATGCAAAATATCATGGTTCCTGTCATATTCTTGTAGAGTTGGAAATATGATGGTAACCTCAATTTCATCACTTCTTAATGTACAGATATTGTGGATCAAACAACACGCTACTATATGTTCCGCCATTAAATCCACTCTTGACATTGGCAGACAGTGTAATAAACTTCTCATATGCCCTTTTAATAGACCAATACATCTTTCAACTGTCACTCTGGCTGCTGACAGACGATAATTATAATTTTTCTGTGCTGCTGTTAGATGTCCGTTGTCTCTGAAGGGGGTCAATAGGTGTTGATGAATCTCGTATGCGGCATCTCCCAATATATGACTGTCAGCTGGGAATTTCTCTTCGTCATTCAAATAGTTTACCACTTCAAAATGACGAAAAACTCGTTGGTCATGAACAGAGCCAGGATGCCCAGCAGAACAGTGTCTGATCAAAGTTCTGTGGTCATACACCAACTGTAAATGGATGCGGATGTACATAACCAAACATTTCTAAAGATTGAATTCGTAATAAACAGATTAAAATACTTGGTACTTGTAACTGTATTGAATGAAATCCTTTATGGTTTATATAATCGACAGGGTTTTCTTTTGGAGCATCGATTCGAATGTGAGTACCATCGATAGCCCCAATGGTTTTTGGAAATCCACTGCTTTCTTCAAATCCTTGTATAATTCTTACAGCATCGTCAGTAGGCCACTTAATAAATGTCGAAGACTTTAAGAAAAGTGCACGGGTGACCCTTCGCACAGCCCGAATAGCAGTTGCTCTTCTAACGTTGAATCGATCGCAAACAGATCTTAAAGAAAGAAATTTATTTAAAAATGTTTTTTATTGCAAATCAATAATTATTTATTGCATTCACTTCTTGAATTTTTCATTACCTGTAGGAGTCCATGGTTGCCATTTTCCATATAGCTATCATTAACTGATGGCGAAATGGGATCATAGGAGATCCTTTTATTTTTCTTGTTAAATATGGGCTGAGCATCTCTAGGACATATTCAAAAGTCGCCCTTGACATTCTGTGAACAAGAGAGAATATGTTAATATCAACAACTTGTACGTGTAAGCGCGCATAGATAATTGGAAATAAAATATGTAAAATTGCATATATTCACTAACCTAAAATGACTTTTGAATTCGTAGTCCATGTAACAACCCACAACATCGGAATAATTTCGAATTCGTGGGCGAAGTTTACGCTTTTCCTTTTTATATAACAGTTCTTCCCATTCATTATCAGAACTCGAACTTTCAGATTCATAATTTCTGTAGCGCAGTACGATCGTGTTAATAGCATCCATGTTTGCTTTATGGTTTATTACGCATCGATAAAACCCGTTCCACTTAAGATTTTGCCCGCAGCGCCCGCAAGCTGGTGGAATAGCAAAAATCGCGGTCGTGGTCGTGGTCGTTGCGGTCGTTAAGTGAAACGCACCTTTTGTTGAAGGCTGTAGTAGTACTACATATATCAGGTGATTGCATAAGTTCGTGCCCGATTTAAAT